GACTTCAGTGGTAGACTCCTCATGCTTGGATCAGAAGGCACAGACAGCAGTGTTAACGGCATTAGCCGTTAACATTGAAAGCTTAATGGACTGATTACACTGACTCCAGGCTGAGGCAATGATTACCTCAAACTCCTTCTGACCTTCACCATTCTTCTTTCTATAGGACTGGTGAAGCCACTGTGTAGCGTAACGTTTCCTTAATAAAGATACCCATATGTTGCACGTGTGTCTAATTTATCAACCTGTCGGTTCCCCGAACCATTTTTCTACAGCTCTAAGCCAAAGGAAGGGTGACCTTGAAGGGCGCTCTACCCAAACAACTGGAGCTGACTTTCTTGGATCAGATGTGATGACCTCCGTGGCATGCAAAGAATACGTAATTTTTATTCCGCGCATGTACACACACTCGTTAAAAGGCTGCCTCCCCAACCAGCGAAGCAGATACTAAGGGTCGGACAGTCGGGGCCCCATCGTCAGATCAGTGTCTTGGTTCAAGCAATCATAATGTGGATCTGGCAATTATAAAGGTGACGTGGTTACCACGCACGTTTTTACCCTTGTCATTTCCATTCTAGAGCTGGTTGAAGCACGGTGGTCTGTTGTTCTTTTGGCGTCTCCTTTGCCTTGATTACCCTGGTGTGTACTTATACCTATTGCTGTACATAGTGTATATAGTGTGCATATTGCTGTTTATACTTGGTGAAGGATAATACAAATCAGTTTTTCTGCTGTGTTTATTTTGCTCCATTTACACCCAGGATAACAGACCTTTGAGAACCTGGGTTGTAATAACCTCCCATTCCCCAAGCGTTCTATGAGGGTTTTTTTTCCTACTAGCTTAGTATCGCCTGAAGATGGTCTCTAGTTAGATGGAAAACATTCGTCTGTGTTGTTCAGTGTGGGTTATGTTACCCATACAGACAGCATTCTCGTGTGTATTTGTATGTATGTATGTATGTGTGTGTATATAGATTGTATATATTTATCATAATAACATATATTTATATATTTTATTATAGTATTATAGTTGTGGGGATTAGTAAACCGGTTAGCATTTGGAATCCTGGTGTGAAGTACATCTGCACTTTAAAAGGTTTGATATATGCATTTGAGTGCATCTAAATTTATATCTGCACCTCTGAAGGCGTGATTGTGAAACTGGTTACAGTTTTTTTCCTGGGCTGGGGTGGTGAAGGTCAATGCTGCACTGTTGAAAGACAGTGGTTTTGAGAAAAATTGAGTATATGGACATACTAGACATTTGCAAATCGCGGAACAAGCGATAAAAGATGCAACAGCCACGATGAGTTGAATCGTGCTAAGCTTTCGTTTGCTATACATCAGAGCTTGATGTTTGCAGAAGAGTAGGGGAAGTCCAGGTAAATAGGGTTCAAGGACGACTCTGTGGAAACATACATGTGTCATTTGTGTGTTACAACAAAAAAAAGCTCATTCAATACTAATGACAAAAAAAATGGTAGAAAGGGTAAAGATGCTGAACTGTTACTGTGATGTAGGAATGGTAACCTCTGAGCTGTTTACTGGTGATTGTAGGTGGTAACCATGCAGGACTTTCTAGTGTGTAGGATGGAACCGCTGAGTTACGGTAGTGGATGGTAACTGTGACTGTTACATGGTGATTAGGATGTAACGCTATGTATGTAGAGGATGAACTGCGACTGTTCACTGTGTGTAGATGTAACCATGCTGCTGTTACTGGTGATGTAGGATGGAAACTAGTGCTGTTATGGAATGTAGGATGGTAATCTGCTGACTGTTACTGGTGATGTAGGATGGTAACCTGCTGGCTGTTACTGGTGATGTAGGATGGTAACCTGCTGACTGTTACTGGTGATGTAGGATGGTAACCTGCTGGCTGTTACTGGTGATGTAGGATGGGTAACCTGCTGACTGTTACTGGTGATGTAGGATGGTAACCTGCTGCTGTTACTGGTGATGTAGGATGGTAACCTGCTGACTGTTACTGGTGATGCAGGATGGTAACCTGCTGACTGTTACTGGTGATGTAGGATGGGTAACCTGCTGACTGTTACTGGTGATGTAGGATGGTAACCTGCTGCTGTTACTGGTGATGTAGGATGGTAACCTGCTGGCTGTTACTGGTGATGTAGGATGGGTAAACTGCTGACTGTTACTGGTGATGTAGGATGGGTAACCTGCTGACTGTTACTGGTGATGTAGGATGGGTAACCTGCTGACTGTTACTGGTGATGTAGGATGAGTAACCTGCTGACTGTTACTGGTGATGTAGGATGGTAACTTGCTGGTTGTTACTGGTGATGTAGGATGGGTAACCTGCTGACTGTTACTGGTGTAGGATGGGTAACCTGCTGTCTGTTACTGGTGATGTAGGATGGTAACCTGCTGACTGTTACTGGTGATGTAGGATGGTAACCTGCTGACTGTTACTGGTGATGTAGGATGGGTAACCTGCTGATTGTTACTGGTGATGTAGGATGGTAACCTGCTGGTTGTTACTGGTGATGTAGGATGGGTAACCTGCTGACTGTTACTGGTGATGTAGGATGGGTAACCTGCTGCTGTTACTGGTGATGTAGGATGGGTAACCTGCTGGCTATTACTGGTGATGTAGGATGGTAACCTGCTGACTGTTACTGGTGATGTAGGATGGGTAACCTGCTGACTGTTACTGGTGATGTAGGATGGGTAACCTGCTGACTGTTACTGGTGATGTAGGATGGGTAACCTGCTGACTGTTACTGGTGATGTAGGATGGGTAACCTGCTTGGCTATTACTGGTGATGAGGATGGTAACCTGCTGGCTGTTACTGGTGATGTAGGATGAGTAACCTGCTGACTGTTACTGGTGATGTAGGATGGGTAACCTGCTGACTGTTACTGGTGATGTAGGATGGGTAACCTGCTGACTGTTACTGGTGATGTAGGATGGGTAACCTGTTGGCTGTTACTGGTGATGCAGGATGGGTAACCTGCTGGCTGTTACTGGTGATGTAGGATGAGTAACCTGCTGGCTGTTACTGGTGATGTAGGATGGGTAACCTGCTGACTGTTACTGGTGATGTAGGATGGGTAACCTGCTGGCTGTTACTGGTGATGTAGGATGGTCAACCTGCTGGCTGTTACCGGTGATATAGGATGGGTAACCTGCTGGCTGTTACTGGTGATGTAGGATGGGTAACCTGCTGGCTGTTACTGGTGATGTAGGATGGTAACCTGCTGGCTGTTATTGGTGATGTAGGATGGGTAACCTGCTGACTGTTACTGGTTATGTAGGATGGGTAACCTGCTGACTGTTGCAGGTGATGTAGGATGGGTAACCTGCTGACTGTTACAGGTGATGTAGGATGGTAACCTGCTGACTGTTACTGGTGATGTATGATGGGTAACCTGCTGGCTGTTACTGGTGATGTAGGATGGGTAACCTGCTGGCTGTTGCTGGTGATGTAGGATGTGTAACCTGCTGACTGTTACTGGTGATGTAGGATGAGTAACCTGCTGACTGTTACTGGTGATGTAGGACGGGTAACCTGCTGGCTGTTACTGGTGATGTAGGATGGTAACCTGCTGGCTGTTACTGGTGATGTAGGATGGGTAACCTGCTGACTGTTACTGGTGATGTAGGATGGTAACCTGCTGACTTTATGGTGATGTAGGATGGGTAACCTGCTGGCTGTTACTGGTGATGTAGGATGGGTAACCTGCTGACTGTTACAGGTGATGTAGGATGGTAACCTGCTGACTGTTACTGGTGATGTAGGATGGGTAACCTGCTGGCTGTTACTGGTGATGTAGGATGGGTAACCTGCAGGCTGTTACTGGTGATGTAGGATGGGTAACCTGCAGGCTGTTAGTGATGTAGGATGGGTAACCTGCTGCTGTTACTGTGATGTAGGATGGGTAACCTGCTGACTGTTACTGGTGATGTAGGATGGGTAACCTGCTGGCTGTTACTGGTGATGTAGGATGGGTAACCTGCTGACTGTTACTGGTGATGTAGGATGGGTAACCTGCTGGTTGTTACTGGTGATGTAGGATGGGTAACCTGCAGGCTGTTAGTGGTGATGTAGGATGGTAACCTGCTGGCTGTTACTGGTGATGTAGGATGGGTAACCTGCTGGCTGTTACTGGTGATGTAGGATGGGTAACCTGCTGACTGTTACAGGTGATGTAGGATGGTAACCTGCTGACTGTTACTGGTGATGTAGGATGGGTAACCTGCTGTTGTTACTGGTATGTAGGATGGGTAACCTGCTGGCTGTTACTGGTGATGTAGGATGTGTAACCTGCTGACTGTTACTGGTGATGTAGGATGGGTAACCTGCTGGCTGTTACTGGTGATGTAGGATGGGTAACCTGCTGACTGTTACAGGTGATGTAGGATGGTAACCTGCTGACTGTTACTGGTGATGTAGGATGGGTAACCTGCTGACTGTTACTGGTAATGTAGGATGGGTAACCTGCTGGCTTTTATTGGTGATGTAGGATGGGTAACCTGCTGGCTGTTACTGGTGATGTAGGATGGGTAACCTGCTGACTGTTACTGGTGATGTAGGATGGGTAACCTGCTGACTGTTACTGGTGATGTAGGATGGGTAACCTGCTGGCTGTTACTGGTGATGTAGGATGGGTAACCTGCAGGCTGTTACTGGTGATGTAGGATGGGTAACCTGCAGGCTGTTACTGGTGATGTAGGATGGGTAACCTGCAGGCTGTTAGTGGTGATGTAGGATGGGTAACCTGCTGGCTGTTAGTGGTGTTGTAGGATGGGTAACCTGCTGGCTGTTACTGGTGATGTAGGATGGGTAACCTGCTGGCTGTTACTGGTGATGTAGGATGGGTAACCTGCTGTTACAGGTGATGTAGGATGGGTAACTTGCTGACTGTTACAGGTGATGTAGGATGGGTAACCTGCTGACTGTTACAGGTGATGTAGGATGGGTAACCTGCTGACTGTTACAGGTGATGTAGGATGGGTAACCTGCTGACTGTTACAGGTGATGTAGGATGGGTAACCTGCTGAGGCTACTGGCACGAGATGATGCAGGGAACAGCTGCTGTTCTCACCAAAAATACGACGTGTTCCTCGACTTTGAGAGTGAGTATTACCTTTGTGTTGCGTTGTGGGTGTGTTGGTGGTTGTGAGATTGGTTGTGGTGATTGTAGGTGTGATGACGTTGGCTGTTGTCCTGGTTGTGGTTAAAATGTGTTGGGTGATATGCTGCTCGCTAATTTTTTTGTATTAGCAGGACGTAATAATAGTAATAAATAGTACAAGAATAGTATTATTAATAGTGGTGGTAATACTTAGTAGTACTAAGTAGTAGCAGTTATATCAGTGGTAGTTGTTGCTGTAGTAGTTATATCAGTGGTAGTTGTTGCTGTAGTAGTTATATCAGTGGTAGTTGTTGCTGTAGTAGTTATATCAGTGGTAGTTGTTGCTGTAGTAGTTATATCAGTGGTAGTTGTTGCTGTAGTAGTTATATCAGTGGTAGTTGTTGATGTAGTAGTTATATCAGTGGTAGTTGTTGATGTAGTAGTTATATCAGTGGTAGTTGTTGCTGTAGTAGTTATATCAGTGGTAGTTGTTGTAAGAGTAATATTTACGAAGCTGTGTGATATCGTAGTGAATCAGCGTATTAACGTAAAGCACATTTACAATATTAGTAACTGAGGATAGAATTAGCAAATGTAGTATGAAGCTATGATCAAGTGGAGTGATGTTGCTGATATAAAATGTATATATCACGGATTGTTGATAAGTCAAGAACGTGCATATCACTGGTATCTTAGTTCTAAACGTTTCACTACACATAGCTTCTAATGTAAACAGTAAGTTTGCAGAAGCGGTGAGATGATGTCTGTTACAATGAATCAGTCCTTACACCTGAAGACTAATACTTGAGTGGTTAGTCACTAGACTGAGAAGAAGTTTGTCATAATCTTTAATTGTTCCAGACTATGGAACAAAGAATACTTCGAGGTGAGGAATGACCCACTTCAAAACTTTTACTGTATGGATGATTCATCACTACTACCTTCTGAATTTGATGAAGCAGCCGCCACTGTGTAGGTAACTTTTTCCATAAAGATACCCACCTGTTGCACAGTTGGGTATCTGTATCATAGTGTACAGATCACATATTTCTCAGCCATGATATGCAGTAGTTCATGGCCTCTGTGTTCCACTTCCGTAGAATCTCCCTTTTCAAACTATTCATCTCTGCTTAGTGTGGTTTATTGTCCCTGGTGGAGAAGCCGTATGCTTGTTCTCCGTACATCTTTACTGAAGGTTCGTGTAATCCAGACTAGGAACAAAATTAGTCACCAGACAAAGGGACACGACCGACTCCTCTTCTTTGCTCTGGAATGCTAATTGTATAATGATTGATATACAACTACAACACAGTTGCCCATGTATTTCTGTTAGAGTCCCCTGTGTATTTGACTGTTCTAAAGTTCGTCACGCCCCATGGTCTGTCTTGCACAGCGTCGATGGTATAGGGTATCAAGTTTGTACAGCTCTGCGCCATATTCTCGTACGCCCATCGGTATGCAGTCCTAAATTCCATGGGCTTTGTTGTCCCCTTTGCCGTGGACTCCTTTTCATACATGTTCTTCATCCGTCTTTTGTGGTTTTACTGTCCTGGTGCTATGTGCCCTCGTAATGCTGCTTGTTCCTCCGTACATGTTTCCTGGAAGGTCTCGTGTAGATCCCGCACGCAGCCTAAATTAGTCACAAAGTGGACACAGGATCGAGCCTCCTCTACTCTTTGCTTTGGAATGACCTACACTTGTATAATGATCGTGATATACAACACAACACAGTTGCGCACAAACCTATGTCATCTTCTGTTAGTAGTCCTCCTGTCGTATTTCTTGGCTGTCTACCTAGAGGATGTTCCGGGGGTCAACGCCCCCTTGGTCTGGTCCTTCACCAGGCGTCCGATGGATAAGGGCCTGATAACCAAGTTGTTACTGCTGGCCGCACGTAGTTCAGCGTACGAACCACATCCCGGTATCCAGCTGCCTCTTAAAGGCAGACAAGGGTCTATTGGTAGTCCCCCTTATGGCTTGTGGGAGGCTGTTGAACAGTCTTGGGGCCCCGGACACTTATTTGTGTTTTCTCTTAGTGTACTAACGGCGCCTCTGGGCTTTGGGTTTGGGTTCTCTTTTATCCGTTTCGGCTAAGTATTTTTCGAAAAGGATGTTGGCTGTAGTGGTGGTGTGATGTGGTGTGTTGGCTGATGTGATGTGGTGTGTTGGCTGATGTGATGTGGTGTGTTGGCTGATGTGATATGGTGTGTTGGCTGATGTGGTGTGTTGGCTGATGTGATGTGGTGTGTTGGCTGATGTGATATGGTGTGTTGGCTGATGTGATGTGGTGTGTTGGCTGATGTGGTGTGTTGGCTCATGTGATGTGGTGTGTTGGCTCATGTGGTGATGGTGGCTGACGTGTGATAGATGATATAAGTAGTTGTCAGCAACCTTCAGAGGTGTTAACTGTATTGTAAATGTGTGTTGCAGATTTGTTATTTCTGATATTTTTTTTTTTACTGGCACAGCCAAGGTTTTCTTACGATTGTTTGGCTGAATTGGGAATACTTCTTTCCGACACTGTCTTGTGTTGCCACTGTCTTGTGCTGCAACTGTCTTCACTGTCTTGTGTTGCAGATGTGTTTGAGTTTCATTTTATGGTTATTGAATGTGAATGATACGTTATAAGCCTTTTTGAGTTTATTGATGATATATCGTGTATAATGTATATGCTGCAGATGCTATACTTAGATATGCCGAGATATGAGTAGACCACGTGTTGAATACATGTTGAGTATACCATGTGTTGAGTACATGTTAAGTCTACCATGTGTTGCAGATGCTGTACCGAGTGAAGAGGAACGATTACTATACGAGGACGTGGCCGAGGTATTACGAGGTTCCCAGGCCGTCATCCACGACCTACAGCAGTACAAAGGAGCGGCCAAGGAGATAAGAGAGGTATAGCAACAGTGTTGACCCCTGTGGTGGGTTTACCGGAGCTGTCCCGACCCGGGTCTTGTCCAGATGGTGACCCGGCTGACCTCTAGTGGTAATAATTATGCTGTCCCGGCCCGGGTCTTGTCCAGATGGTGACCCGGCTGACCTCTAGTGGTAATAATTATGCTGTCCCGGCCCGGGTCTTGTCCAGATGGTGACCCGGCTGACCTCTAGTGGTAATAATTATGCTGTCCCGGCCGGGTCTTGTCCAAAATGGTGACCTCGGCTGACCGCTAGTGGTATTAATTATGCTGTCCCGGCCCGGGTCTTGTCCAGATGGTGACCCGGCTGACCTCTAGTGGTATTAATTATGCTGTCCCAGCCCGGGTCTTGTCCAGATGGTGACCCGGCTGACCTCTAGTGGTTGTAATTATGTAGCTACAGAGCTGTGCTCCTTTTGTAGTAGCTGTAATTAACTCTAGCTACAACAGATCTACGCTCGTCTTGGGGTTACCTGGTTACCTGGAGGTTATTCCGGGGATCAACGCCCCCGCGGCCCGGTCCATGACCAGGCCTCCCGATGGTATCAGGGCCTGATCAACTAGGCTGTTACTGCTGGCCGCACGCAGTCCGACGTACGAGCCACAGCCCGGCTGATCCGGCACTGACTTTAGGTATCTGTCCAGCTCTTCTTGAAGGCAGCAGGGGTTTATTGGCAATTCCCCTATGCTTGATGGGAGGCTGCTTGAACAGTTTTTGGGCCCGGACACTTAAGGTGTTTTACTCTTAGTGTACCAATGGCGCCCCTCTTTTTATTGGCGGCATTTTGCATCGCTGCACCAGTCTTTTTACTTTCGTAGGGAGTGATTTCTGTGTGCAGATTTGGGACCATTCTTCCAAGATTTTCCAAGTGTAGATTATGATATATCTCTCCCTCCTGCGTTCCAACGAATACAAGTCAAGTGCTTCCAAGCGTTCCCAGTAGTTAAGGTGCTTGACAGAACTTATACGTGCAGTAAGGATCTCTGTACACTCTCTAGATCTGCGATTTTCACCTGCTTTGTATGGAGATGTTAATGTACAGCAGTATTTCCAGCCTAGAGAGAACAAGTGATTTGAAAAGGATCATCATGGGCTTGGCATCTCTCGTTTTGAAAGTTCTCATTATCCATCCTATCATTTTCTTTGCACGTGCGATCGTGGCACTGTTGTGATCCTTGAAAGTGAGATCTTCAGACATTACTACTCCCAGGTCCCTTACATTATTTTTCCGCTCTATTGTATGGCCGGAGTCAGTAGTATACTCTGTTCTAGTTATTATCTCCTCCAGTTTTCCATAACGGTGTAGTTGTAGTGGTGGTAGTTATGGTGGTTCAGGGTTGTGGTTACAGTGGTTGTTCAGGGTGATGGTTATGGTGGCGGTGATGGTTGTGGTTGTAATTATGGTGGTGGTTACGGTGGTGGTTGTTATACTAGCTAGTTTGGAGGGTTGCTGGGATGGTTGTTGTGGTTTCGGGTGGTTGTGGTTTGAGGTGGTTGCTCTGGTTGCTGTCATGGTTGTGGTGGTTATGGTGGTAAAGATCAAGTAACTATGGTGAAGGTAAGACATACAGTTGCAGGTGTATTGATCACAGTCTTGCTACCAAGCAACCTGCTATCAACGTGCTCACTAAACACCTCATCTTTCTCAGTCACTCTACATGTACATTAGGGCTTCTGAGTTATAACTTAATAACATTAATTTATTTCTCATCATTTACACTCTATATATTTATATATAATATATATATATATTATATATATATATATATATATATATATATAATATTATATATATATATATTAATATAAACCAAGGGATTTTTTTAAAATATTTCGTCCTTACGCTTGTACTGTTTAAAATTAATGTTGTTGATATAATTAGTATAAATATTTTTGGTCGTATGTATGTGGTGTTGGGCAACCCCATGGGCGTACTGCAGGCCTACACGCTGATTGGTCGGCGATAGTGACGTATCAGGGGACGAGGTCGCTCTTTGGTAGGCTCAGGTAGTGACGTATCAGAAAAGAGGTCACTGATTGGCCGGAGGTAGTGACGTGACAGGGGGAAACGGTAGCTGATTGGCCGGCAGCGTTGGTGAGGTAACAGGAAGGTGGTCGCTGATTGGTTAACCTCCAGGCAGACATTTCCTTATATGGGCACAAAATGCACGTGCAGGGGGCGGGGGGGGATACAATTGTCGGTAAACGTTTCGCAAGTCAAGCAAATTTTGTTTCTCTCCTCGTATGTATGTAAAGTGCTTTATTTTGGAAAAATTATGTTGTAAGTATGGCAAGGTGTTTATGTTTTTTTGGAAAATTAGGGGCCCCCCCCCCAAACCTTACTTCAAAAATAAAAATTGTGGTTGCGGGTCGAGACTCAGCTCCCCCCCCCGGGGCCCTTAAAACTGATCGCTACGGGTTTCCTTTCTCCCTCGGGTTTCCGGGAATTTTTGTCATCCTTTTTTTCTTAAAAACTAATAAAATTGGTTCCTCCCCTCCGCACTCTTCACTTTGTTTAGGCTTTTTTCCAAATTGCTGACAACTCAAAGGGGACTGAAAAATATTTTCCCCTAATTTTCCCGGGGAAACTGTCTGAGCCCTTCAGCTTTCCGTTGTGCCCCCCTTGTCCCTGGGTTCCCCTCTCTGGGAGCCCCCAAAAATCTCTTTTCCCCTTGTCTATTTCCCCCTTCTTTGAAATTTCGTTTTTTCATGTCCCCCCCCTGACCCTTCTGCCCCGCCAGTGCCCGTTCAAGCCCAAATTTCCCCTTAACCTTTCCCCGTACGACTTTCCCCTTTGAGCTTTTGGGACAAACCTTTTTTTGAAAACCTTTGTATTTTCTCAAAAATTGGGACGTCTTGACCAGGGGGTGGGTTCCCCGACGGGTGGGCACATACCCCGGGAAAAGGGGCCCTAAAAATACACTGGGGCCAGGGCCCTTGGGAAGATTCCTTATTAAAGGTATGGAACGCTATTTCGGTTTTCCGGCGCCCTTTAATGCTGCAGGGTTTAAATTTGGTCCGATGTGTCCCTCCGGGATGTGCTCGGGTGTTAGGGTTTAAAACCCCAAGGGTCTTTCTCCCTGGGGAGGTTGAGTCTTTGTCCACCTACCCTATACCCCTTGGTATGCGGTTTTTTCTTTGCCCCCCCCCAAATTTCAGGGACTTTGCATTTGGCGGGAAATTAAATTTGGGAGAAGGCCAGTTGCGGGGCCCCACATGTCCACCCTGCCAGGTCTCTTTCACCCTGCCCATCCTCGTCCGTTTTAAATTCTTCTCATCAACTTTAAGTATCTGGAACGGGACACTTCAGAGTCTATTCCTTCCACCCTTTGTCTTTCACATATATCAAAAATGCACGGGGCCCTTTGAACTGACCCCTGGGGGACCCCGTTCTAACAGGCGCCCACTGTGATCCCCTTTTCACGCCCCCAAGGAACTCGTTGCTGCCTCCCTGTCAGGTTTTTCCCTTTATCCATTCCCGTGCCCCCCTTTTTTTAGGGGCCCCCGATCCTCCCAACTTCTCACAAACTTTTTGGGGGGGGAACTGTGTCAAAGGCCTTTTTGAAATCTAGGAAAAGCAATCTACCCACCCCTCTCTCTCTTTTTTGTTTTACTTCTGTTACCTTGTCTTTAAACTCCGGGAGGTTTTGTGATACAAAGATTTGCCTTCCGTGAACCCATGCTGGTTTTTCATTTATAATCTTTTCCTTTTTCCAGGTGTTTAAACCACTCCCCTCCTGATAATCTTCCCCATGACTTTGCCCCACAATACTGCAAAAGACACAGGCCCTGAAAGTTTAGTCCCTCGTTTCTGTTTCCTTTTTTAAAAATTTGGGACTACTTTAGCTGTTTTCCCTTTTTCTCAGGTATTTGCCCTTTTTTCAAGGGATGTGTTGAAGATTGTGGGTTAGGGGCCCGCACAGCATCTCTGCTTTTCCCTTTTAAGGGAAACCCATGGGGAGATTTTTTTCCCGGTCCCATGGGCCTTTGAGGTGCCCAAGGTCACAAAAAGAGTTTCTTCACCTCCCCCTATTTGTTGTATTTTATCCAAACTTGTTGGTATATTCCCTTTTGATTTCCCTTTTTGGGTGTCTTCCCACACCCCTTTCCGTTTTTAACTGAAAAAAAACCTTCCCTTAAATCCCCCTGTTCGCTCCTAAACTTTCCTTTCCGATCATTTCTTTTTGAGGTTCTACACCTTTTTGCCTTAATTAAACCCCTTTGGTTTTTTGACTTTTTTGTTTTTCCTCCTGATGTGGTATAAAAAACAGTTTCGGGTCAGCCCTTGTTTCTTGAGGGCTTGTCTTTTTTCCAGTAGTCGCGGGGCCCCCCTCCTTACCTGGGGTTTACTAACTCCGGGCTCTGCGGACTAAAACCTCCTTTTTTTAAAGTGTTCTCTGCCTTCTTTTACTTTTTTTTCATTCTCTTTTGGGAATTTTTTTTTTTTGGCCCCCCTTTTAACCGTGGGAAAACCCAAAGGGGCCTGGGGTTTCTGGTTTTTTCCCGGTGTTACTTTTCCCCCTTTGGGGAATTTAAACCCTTTTCCACTCCCCTCCTTGCATTTTGTTGTTACATATTCCATCTTTTTAAATTTACTGGCTTTCCTCCCATTTCCCTCTGTCCCCGGCCCTCCCGCGGGAAGGGTTTTTTAAACCCTATGTTTCCCCTTTTATAGTCAGGTTTTTTCCCATTCAACTACCTGTTATTCTCTCCATTTGGGCCCCTCGGGTATTTTTATTAAAGCACGGGAACCCAAAGGGTCGCTAGCTCCTGGGGGGACTCTCATACTTGAGGGTCCTCAAAAATCGGTTTCCCCCGGGGGTTGAACACGGGGTTTCCAATTTTGGGTGGTTATCCCCCCTTCACTTGGTAGTGTCCTTAACATTTGGGCAGGGGTTTTTCCCCGCCCCACGTCCAACCTGGCCCTCCATGTTTCAGGACCCCCAAATGTGGCTCCTTTTTCCACCATTTTCCTCCTT